GTTCTTTATAAACAATTTTCGAATACGCTTTTTCAAGTAAAACAATTTGACCACTTAAGCGTAACTTAATCTCATCACGCAAATTGAATGGTGTGTCACCTGTATAGATGCAGGATTTCAACGATTCACGCCATTGAGTTGGTAGAGCGTCTATTAAAGAGACAAGCCTAAAGGCATCCAGCGGCGAAAGGTTCAAGACTCTCAACTCGCTTTTGATTATAAGTTCATGTTTATTCGAGATTAAATCACCCACTCGAAAGATCCCTTTCTCAGCGAGATTTCGAAAATACACAGACTTGTCACCAACACAAATAAATCTGTTGTTCCATAAGATAACTTTTGACAAGTCTTTTCCATTTAAATCCTGTATATTTAAATTATTTACCGCAGAGCAATTTGCAAAAGATTTTAAGCATTCTTCATAAAAGGCTGGTAATTTGATAGTCAATTTCTTCAAATCAAAGTCGCAACATAAGACTAATTTACCACCAACAGGTTTCAGATAATGCAAAGGGATTATTTTCCATCCACTGGGTTGATCATTTGCCAATTTCTTGCAGCAAAGTATTCTTTGTGTTTCAATTATGCTGTTTAAATGTGGGGCTTTAAGTCCTCCATCTTCGATATCACTGATAAGTGCAGAGCGTTTAACTTTATCCTTTCCTTTCCATATAAAATCAAAGATAATTTTGTTCGCTTCTTTCACAAAATCTTTATCCAATGATATCAAGCTCGTGCGATATAAGAAGATAGGAACGCAACTTTTGCATTTCCAAACGCATGTGTGCCTCAATACTCACTGTCTCTTTGATGTTAGTAATAATTTCAAATGTCGACGAATATAATTCTCATTTCAGTGTGATATATGGTTTACCCTTTTTCAGCCGATGATCACAATCAGCATTTAAGAGGGAATGTGAAGAAAACCACGGCGAATGACAAATTATCTTAAAGACGCAAAATTGTGTCAATTAAAAAGTTAAAATTTCGCATGCCTTAAGTCTCACCCGGTTTTAGTTTTGTGAGAATCATGTACCATGCTCCGAGGTAACTCGTTTCCACATTCTTAATTTGCGCCTGATTGGTATTTAGCACCAACATGGCCAATACTTGGGGAGACTCCAATGTATACTCAATTTAGTAGACCCGCCGTAGTACATTAAGATAAAATAAAACTGAATGAAAAAGAAAAAATCGTATAACGAAATAAGAACCTATGCAACCTATGTTGATATTCTTAAAATTTCCTCTCATTATTCAAAACGGCTTACGCGTTTTGGGTCACGTGGTCCGAAACGTCACAGAAAAGCATTGAGACCGAGAAGGCCTTGGCAGACGGTACTACAAGGACAGCACTACAATAGGCCACTTTCGATAGATCAGAATTCATCATAAAAATAAGTTCTAGAGGACACAAACAAAAATAAGATAAGATAAGATAAGCAACTATATTTAACGAGGGTTACACGTGACAGTAGTTAAAATTACTGATAAACTTGTGGCCCTCTAAAGATAAATATGCCAATAAATAAATAAAATAAATAAATAAATAAAGGAATAAAGGAATAAACACATTATTCAATTGTTTGTTTTAAGCGTCCCTAGACTCCCCATCATGTTGAATGTTATAATATTTGAAATAGGTTTATTTTGGTAAAGAAAAGTCGAAATATTTATTTAGTTAAACTCGCATGTTGACATTTTGAGAAGCGCAGGGCGTGGCATAAAGTCAATTATAATAATAAACAGCAACAAGATAAAAGCAAACGTGAAATAGTTCTAAGAAAGAAACGAATAGCAACTCAACTCTGGGCAAAGTTGGTTTCTAATTAAGAAATCTGAAGGTTTTGCGTCTTAGTCAACTTGCCATTGCTTACTTATTATGGTTAAACCGCCGCTTTGAAAGCTTTTTTAAAATTGACTTAATCTGTTGTTTGGCTCCCAAAGGGATATTACTGCATGTGTAATAACCTCTCTCAAATAAGCAGCTGTTGCATTTATTAGGCTATGATGGACACTACCAGGCTTCTTCTAATATATACTTGAAGTATTAAAATTCATGGTTATTAATAAGACAGAAAATTTCACCTGTTTATCTTGTACTAAGTTCCTTTAAGAAGTTACGCACAATTCTAAATCCTGGCGATAATCAGTCAAAAACAGAGAAAAGCTAAGGAGACAAGGAAATTAAAAATTTCTACAACAGCAGACTGTAAAAGAGTTCCCTTTTCGACCGTAAGTGTTGATACGTCGTTATTCTACTGATTCTATTGTTACTTGTATAATCACTCGCCATATATTGTCGATTGATCCTGTTCAAAGGTTTCCTTGAAATAGAACAATACTCATTTTATGAGATCAGAAAACGAAACGTATTTCACTTGAAACTTTGTATTTTTATCATTAACAGTAAGAAATCATTTGCCTAAGTTACTGATGCTAGTTGTTCTTTGAATTCTATTAACGTGGTTTTCCACTCCCTTCCTATTTAGCCTGCGAGAAAGCTCTCCGCGGCACTCTGGGGGCGGGGTTTGGGGTGGGGGCGGGGGATGGTTGAAGGAAAGGAGGAAGAGCTTGCAACTACGTCTTTGGAAGTAATTTTGAATTCCACGTCCAATTCCCCTGTGGTTCCCCATCAGCTGAGCTGTCAAATTTCCGTCAATTACCACGAAACGGAAACAAGCGCGAATGTAAACAAACATTGAAAACACGTGCCAAAGGTAATGACGTCATTACTGATTTCATCTCGGCCAATCTGCATTTCGCATCGACTTTTAATTTTCGATGCAGATATTCAAATTCCAGAGACTTAATTTCAAGCACTCCTTCCTTTTGCCGCCCCTTCGCCAGAGCGCCCCGGAGAGCTTGCTAGGGGGCTACTTCTCAATGACCCCAAGCGCCCCAATAACAAATGGTATCGTCTCTGTTTCTATTTTCCACATTCTAACTCTAAGTGTTCAAATAATTCGACCTCCAAGCTCAGTAAGCCTTTTCAAAGGTAGCTTATATCCGTGCCACCGGTCAAACAGGAAAGCCGGAATTCAAAACCAGTAATCGAAAGCAGTGATCAATAGACAAATTTTAGCTTTCTATTGCCTATTACGAAGAAAAACGAAACCGAAACGCTTAATTTATTGTTTGCCATAATATTTGCAAAGCAAGAAATAAGTTGTTAAATATTACAAAAGCTAATGTCTAGTTAACCCGAGGTAGGCCACGTGAGCTTATAAGGAATAGGCTCCCTCAATTTATTATTCTAACGAAGTAAAGGGAACATTATTTTTTGGCTCAGGTTACAGGTGACGTTTGTTTTCTTCCCCTAGATGTAATTTGTGCATTTGAATCTTTGCACTTATTTTATACCCTCTA